TGAGTGTGTGTGTGTGTTTAAGGCAGAGGACCAACAGTAAATCTTTTGTAAATATTCCTAATATCTTTCACCCCTGTGTTCTTGTGCCTGATTATCTCTGAAAAGCTTTCAGGACCCGCACCAAATCCTCTCGCCCTCAGTACTGTGTGAATTTAAGAGCCTTTGGGAGGATTTGATTGCCCATCAACATAAAAGAATGAGGGAAAAGTGATGGATGTGGACCCAGCTTCTGGCATATTATACAAATCTAAAAATAGAACCAAAAAGGAGACATAACATTTTCCAGGACCAGGGTGGGGGCAAGGGGAGAAGAAGCAAAAGGAGGGATGGGGGAAGGAAGCCTGATGCTCCTGGGCTTTCTTGCCCACCTGAGCCAACAACCAGTGGGGGAGTTGCCCCCCCTCCACTAAATGTACATGAAAGAGCAAGAGGAGGAGTTGCAAGTGATGTTTCCCCGAAACGGAGACCCCTGCCTGCACCCCCTCCTACTGTTTTGGGCATCGGAAGGGCAAGGGGAGGACCTGTTGTCATGGTGTTTCATTCTGATCATCAAGGGGAAAAAAAATTGATCATCTTGGGGATTTCAATTGGGGATGTGCGCATGTACTCACAGTGAAGTGTTCACACACCTCCTTTAAATTAAATCACAATTCCTGCCATTCTCTCGGCACTTCAAAAACCCTCTTTTGATTCTTCAGCAATTCAACTACTGGTGCATAATTAAGATTCCTTTCCTTTACTTCTTTGCTCCCCTTCCCCAGTTTCCACTCCCACCATCCACTCCCACCCCTTTAAGGCAGGCATGGGCCAACTTGGGCCCTCCAGGTGTTTTGGACTCCAACTCCTTTTCTGGGGAAAAGGAAGGGGCCTGAGGCTGTTAGGAATGGTGGGAGTTGGAGTCCAAAACACCTGGAGGGCCCAAGTTGGCCCATGCCTGCTTTGAAGCCTTGGTTTCACCACATCTGGTCACTGCAAACCACACCACAGAAGCATGACACTACAGCTAACCATGTGAGAATTCCTTGGTTTGGTGGTATATTTAGGACCAATCTAACCTTATTCTTAAAACTTACTGGAAATGGTGTGGACAGCTTTGGAAAGTGCGAAGAGATCCTAGGAATGCCTGACTCATGTAGATTTTTGGACACTTGATTACTGCCAGATGAATGCATGAGCTATTGAAGAGCATTATGTTTGAAAGCACATGAAAGATCTGTCATACTAGGAAATTGTTCAATCACACATTCAACATCACTTGAAGTTGTAGTCATCTAATAGTGAATACAGAAAGTGTATACCGAGTCAGATGGAGAGTACATCTAAATCAGTGGTGCATAACCTGTGGCCCTTCAGGTTTTTTGGATTTCAGCTCCCAGAATTCCTGACCATTGGACAAGCTGGCTAGAGCTTCTGGGAGTTAGAGTCTCAAATACCTGGAGGGCCACATTGTGTGTATCATCGATCTAAATCAATATAGTCTATACAAGTGTTTCTCAACCTTCCTAATGCTGCGACCCCTTAATACAGTTCCCCATGTTGTGGTGACCCGCAACCATAAAATTATTTTTGTTGCTTCTTCATAAATGCAATTTTGCTACTGTTACAAATTGTAATGTAAATATCTGATATGCAGGATGTATGACCATTTTTGGCACAAATATCCGATGCGCCCACATTTGAATACTGGTGGGGTTGGAGTGGGGTTGATTTTGTCATTTGGGAGTTGCAGTTGCTGGGATTTATAGTTCACCTACAATCAAAGAGCATTCTGAACTCCACCAATGATGGAATTGAACCAAACTTGGTACACAGGACTCCCATGACCAACAGAAAATACTGGAAGGGTTTGGTGGGTACTGACCTTGAGTTTAGGGGTTGTAGTTCACCTACATCCAGAGAGCACTGTGGACTCAATCAATGATGGACCTGGACCAAACTTGGCACAAATACTCAATATGCCCAAATGTGAAAATTGGTGAAGTTTGGGGAAAACAGACCTTGACATTTGGGAGTTGTAATTGCTGGGATTTATAGTTCACATACGATCAAAGAGCATTCTGAACCCACCAATGATAGAATTGGGTTAAACTTCCCAGACAGAATCCCCATGATGAACAGAAAATACCGTGTTTCCTGATGGTCTTTGGCGACCCCTCTGACACACCCCTCCCTGCGACTCCCTCAGGGGTCCTGACCCTAGGTTGAAAAGCACTAGTCTATACTAACGCGGCCATGGCTCTCTAAGGAGTTCACATAGGAATCTTCCCCACACCCAACTAGAAATGCCAGTTATCATACTTGGAATCTTCTTCATGAAGGACATCTGAAACGACCCCCAGAGTGACTCCTCAAATATTGGCACATATCTGGGATTAAAGTGCCAGTGATATTCAAATCAGAAAGTTCCTCTCACAGGAAGGCTTAAACATGACTAAGACTTCTCTTGCTGCAAATTAGTGAAGGCACAGCCCCCTCCACCCAAACCTATTTGCATATAAGAATAAGGTAGTGCTTACTGGGAAGCAGATCAATTTGGGTTGCTAAAAAACTGTTGAATAGAGGGTTATTTCAATGTGGTAAGGAAGATCTTTAATGATATATCATCCTATTCTGAATTTCACTTGCACTCATACTCCACATGAAAAACAGGCACAGGGCAGATCCAGATATTTCCTTGAGGGCTTTCTCATATTCTGTACAGTGATTTTCAAAAAAGTGGGTAAGACATTGAAAACAAGGATCCAGCGAGGCATGGCTTGCCTAGAGTGGAAAAGGGGGTAGCTGAGATCTTTCTGCACAATTAACTCCACTCCTGTCAATAAAGTCACTCTGTCACTCCTTTCCACCTGCTACTAAGGAGGCTGTCGAGGTCCTGAACCGGTGCCTGGCCGCTGTAATGGTCTGGATGAGGGAGAACAAACTGAAATTAAATCCAGACAAGACAGAGGTACTCCTGGTCAGTCGCAAGGCCGAACAGGGTATAGGGTTACAGCCTGTGCTGGACGGGGTCGCACTCCCCTTGAAGGCGCAGGTTCGCAGCTTGGGTGTGACCCTGGATTCATCATTGAGCCTGGATCCCCAGGTTTCAGCGGTGACCAGGGGAGCATTCGCACAGCTTAGGCTCATGCGCCAGCTGCGCCCGTACCTTGGGAAGTCTGACTTGGCCACGGTAGTACACGCTCTGGTCACATCCCGCCTGACTACTGCAACGCTCTCTACGTGGGGCTGCCCTTGAAGACGGCCCGGAAGCTTCAGCTAGTCCAGCGTGCGGCAGCCATGTTACTAACCGGAGCGGGACGCAGGGAGCACACAACGCCCTTGCTGTTCCAGCTCCACTGGCTGCCGATCTGCTACCGGGCCCAATTTAAGGTGCTGGTGCTATCCTACAAAGCCCTAAACGGTTCCGGCCCAAAATACCTTTCGGACCGCATCTCGGCCTATGAGCCCACGAGGACCTTGAGATCATCTGGGGAGGCCCTTCTCTCGATCCCGCCTGCTTCACAGGCACGCCTGGCGGGGACGAGAGAGAGGGCCTTCTCGGTGGTGGCCCCCCGGCTGTGGAACGACCTCCCTGTTGACATCAGACAGGCGCCCTCCCTTTTGTCCTTCCGCAGGAGCCTAAAGACCTGGCTTTTCGAGAAGGCATTTAACTGAATATTACGGCAACTGGCAATTGACATCTGGAACGGAATATGGACTACGATATTGGATATGATTCTATGATATGACGAAGCGGATTATTTAGTGTAACTTATAGTATTGTGTATTATTGTTGTATGGATTTCTTGTTTCTGTTTTTTTGTAAACTGTTTTTATATGCTGTACACCGCCGCGAGTCGCCCTAGGGCTGAGAGCGGCGGTCAATAAATGCACCAAATAAATAAATAAATAAATAAAGTCGTGTTTGTTTCTGAGTTGTTGCCTGTAATTAGTTCATCTTCCCTCAATAATGCATGTCTCTCCTGCAGATCCAATGCATTGTTTCCACTCTAGAAGTGTTCCTTTGTAAACACAATATTCTCTCCAGGTAGCACGTTTACAGTCATTGCAATTTTTCATTTCAAATGTAGATACAAGGAATGTTAAGAATCATTGGGTATCATTTGTTATATGTTTAGTGACCAACACCACATAACACTACATTTTAATCCCTCCCATCCATCTCTACCTCATTTTATGTCATTAAAAAATCCTTACACATCTGAACATTTCCATATTGTAAAACTCTGACACACTTATTTGTTTGTTTATTTATTTACTCTATTTATACCCTGCCTTTCTCTATCCGAAAGGGGACTCAAGGCGGATGTCATAGAAGCAATTATTCAATGCCTTAAAACACATACAATTCCAGTAACATTAAAATTAAAATTAATGCATATTAACCCTTTAAAACATTTTAAAACATTACATTCAATATAAATCATGCCACTTTCACACACTTTCACTGATCTGGCCTTTAAAGCACTGTGGGCATCCCTTGTTCAATACATTTCAGCCATTCCTGCTCTCTGCTTTCAATGCATGAAACCTGATTTTATCATACCCATATGTGATATATCTGCTACTCAGAGTGCAATTCACTCTGGGTGAATTACCCCACTTTTCCCCCTTCTCCAGCAATTGGGATGCAAAACCTACCCCTGCAAAGAGATAGCCTAGAACAGTTGCTGGGAATGCTCTAGAGCAGTGGTTCTCAACCTGTGGGTCCCCAGGTGTTTTTGGCCTACAACTCCCAGAAATCCCAGCCAGTTTATCAGCTGTTAGGATTTCTGGGAGTTGAATGCCAAATCATTTGGGGACCCCACAGGTCGAGAACAGCATGCCCACCTAGCACCATACTGGAGGCACTTCAACTGCCTTCCAATCCACCATTGGCCATTATATGTACCCTTCTTGCCTTAACAGCCAGCCAGTTGTACTGGGGTTTCTTCTAGATCTATATGATTCTGTTAGACACCTGACAGCCATATGCTTTTTGTTCTGCTTTTGTCTTCTAGATTAGCCAGATTGTTGTTCAATCCTGGAAGAACGCGTGCCAGCCTGGCAGGCAGGCACAAGGCACGGTGGGGAAAGAGCACCCATCATGCTGTCTCTGAGTGGAGGCCACTGGTGCAGCAACAGGCTTTCCTCAAGATGGAAAGAAACCAGCTGTAAGTATTGTCCTGTTTGTTTTCAGACAGGGGACCACTCTCTGCTTCTCAAATAATGAGTAAAAATGCGTGGGGACAGGGAACAACCAGCGTTTTCCTTTAATAACAAGAGAATTATAATGCTGGTGTCATTTCCAGACCTTTTCTACATAATGAATGACAAGAAGTGTAATTTCAGGGAGTGAAGTTACAGTGTGTTCATGAGTTAAAACCAATAATATGTAATCAAGGCTTCTGGACTGACTGAACTTGAGAGCTGCAAAATTGTGGATACAATTTGCTCCTAATACCAAAAGAATATACAACAAGCTTTAAAGGTTCCCTAAATTTTCATAATCAACACTCATTTTCTAAAATGTTCTTTGCCCATGAAACACAAACCCCTGTCATTCATTTTTCAGTTATGTTTTTTGTTCTCTTGAAAACAACAAACCTCAATTGCTGTTTTATATTGTAGGGAAAGTCTCAGGGAATAAAGCTTAGATGCCATATTATTCTGTATGAGGAGCCCCCGGTGGTGCGATGGATTAAACCCTTGTGCTGGCATGACTGCTGACCAATAGGTCAGCAGTTCAAATCCAGAGAGAGCAGGTTGAGCTCCCTCTGTAAGCTCCAGCTCCCCATGCGGGGACATGAGAGAAGCCTCCCACAAGGATGGTAAAACATCAAACATCCCTGTGTTTCTAGGGCAACGTCCTTATAGACGGCCAATTCTCTCATACCAGATTGACTTGCAGTTCCTAACACGAAAATTATGTACGAAGAACTCTGAATAGGGCAGAAGAAATGTTTAAGCCACTACCTGTAAGAATTTAACACTGATATGCTCACTAAAAAGTGTGCAAGCACCTCAACTCCCTTTTTCAACTAATAGCTTCAACATGAATCTATCTTGCCCATCGTTACAGTGCAAAATCCATCCTGGACCCTCAGATCCAGAGCTGATGAGACTCCAAATGAAAAGCACTGGAACTTAAAGGGAAACTAAGTGTACTTCAGTGAACCATCCAGCAATCTTTGCAGGGCATTGTGAAAAGTGTTCATTAGTGAGGATACATGCAGTTAATCCAAGCAGGAGGTAGAGACTCCCTTCGAAAGGTGTGACTCGAGGTCAGAATGCTAGATGTCAATGAAACTTGCTAAGAGAATTAGTTCCTTTCGCCCAGAAGTCTTGCCTTTGTTATACACCCTTGCCTTTTAGACTGCTGTTATCAATTATTTACTCTAAATGCCACTGAGCCCTGGCCTAATCTTATATTCCGAGATCAGCTTACTAGAGTCCTGAACGCCCCATGCAGTAACATTACCTTTTCTTGACATACAGTATGTTAAATATTTCACTTAGACTATTGTTTGGTGGCCAGCACTGCTTTCCATGGGAGGAAAACTCTGTAGCTGAACACTCACAAGTAAAATGAGTTTTGAGATCAAAATGCATTTACCTTCATTATTACTAAATCAGACCATAGTCTTATCAGTATTTTTGGACAGCTGATAAAGTTGGAGACTGTGCTTCACTATGTAACAGGGACACTCCTTCTCCAGGCCATTATTTGGATGACATAAATTATGCACCCAGGTTTTTGGAAGGGGGAGAAGTACATGATAGTATTCCATGGGAACATAGTGAAATACTAGCAAACAGGAAAACATTGGATTAAATGAACACAGAACAGTGGCTCCCATATAGCATTTCCTGATATATTCTCACCTTTCTGTACTTAAAGCAGCTAAATGTCTCTCATCATCCTAGGTAGCACTGTATTATTAATATGGCAGTTCTGTCAAGCATCCAAGAGAGACAGGATCACTTGAACGATTCATGTCACTTTCCTTTCCTTCGTGCTCTTTCAAGCATCATCGTAGTTCTATAGAGTGAGAGGCCTCAAGGGGAATTAAATCCTTCTGGCCAGACAATATCAGCTCTGGTGCCAATAGGATCTCCTTTCAGGATACATAGCATCTTTTGTGATATCTGTGGAGATGACCTCTGTTTGGAAAGAAAGCAGCTCCGAGGTCTCTGAAAGTACACTCCAGGCCTCCCTGTTTTGTTCCTACTTTCCTTTATGACAGATGATATAGCATCCTGAAATCAAATCTCCTATAGACCTACACAGAGAAGAATTCCATTAATTCCAAGAGATAAATTTATGATTAATCATACAAATTAAAGTTCCTCTGTTTGGAACTTTAATATTGTAAGGATCAATATTAAAGGGAGATGCTGACAAGCTGGAATGTGTCCAGAGGAGGGAGACTAAAATGATCAAGGATCTGGAGAACAAGCCCTATGAGGAGTGGCTTAAAGAGCTGGGCATGTTTAGCCTGAAGAAGAGAAGGCTGAGAGGAGACATGATAGCCATGTATGTGAGAGGAAGTCATAGGGAGGAGGGAGCAAGCTTGTTTTTTTCTGCCTTGGAGACTAGGGCGCGGAACAATGGCTTCAAACAACAAGAAAGGAGATTCCATCCGAACATTAAGAAGAACTTCCTATGAGAGCTGTTCAGCAGTGGAACTCTCTGCCCCAGAGTGTGGTGGAGGCTCCTTCTTTGGAGGCTTTAAAACAGAGGCTGGATGGGTTGTTGTAGGATATTTCGGGCTATATGGCCATGGTCTAGAGGCATTCTCTCCTGACGTTTCACCTGCATCTATGGCAAGCATCCTCAGAGGCAGTGAGGTCTGTTGGAACTAGGAAAATGGCCTGCTTCTTGGCAGGGGATTGGACTGGATGGCCCATGAGGTCGCTTCCAACTCTATGATTCTATGATTCTATATCACGTCATTGAAATAATGCCAATATTTTAGGTACAAATGGAAATATTGCCTAGAGTATCAAAATTCTGAAATAATAAAGAGGATAAAAGCTTAACTGTGATTTAGAACCACCAACATACAAATTTGTAGTCCTGCTCAGTGACTTTGGGCTTAAACCAATATCTGTGACGTGTTTATGTGATTTAGAACCACCAACATACAAATTTGTAGTCCTGCTCAGTGACTTTGGGCTTAAACCAATATCTGTGACGTGTTTAGAAAATGTAAACAGATTGAAATTCATATTTTCAAAAACATAGATCAAGAGTAGTAAACACGGAGCGCATTTTTTTTGTCTTTATAGTAATTAAAATCAGCTTTGTCAAAGGCTTAGGCGAGTAATGCAGTAGAAACTTCTGTCTTAAATCAAATAAATGAAGCACCTAATCTCCCCACCAAAAAATTGGGTTGAATTCTTTTTGTTATAGTTGTCTCATTCCTTATGGGAGCCATGAGACACTACCTTCTCTTGGGTGGAATTGTGTCTTTGGAATTTACTGCATGCTGTGTTTTGCCCTTTGAGTATGGTATTTGTTGACCTTAAGGAAATCATGCAACACTTTTTAAGGGCTGACTTTCATATCTTTGTGACCTTTAGTTGGTGTTGGATAAATACTCAAACTATATTTTGGTAATTTGCAGGCAACTAGGCCTTTTTGAGATAGGAACCAAAACATACATTTAAATCAAGCAGCTGCTGGACTCCAAGTCATCCTTATCCATTATACTTTTCATCATCAGGAAAACATCAAATGATAATTTGTGCCCTAAACTGTATCTTAAAGGCATTTAGATATAGTTGGTCTTTTGACTGTTATGTATGGATTGTCCCTCAAACACGCTTGACTTCATTTTATCTATGATATTGGAGTGCCATGACATTAGGGCAGCAAAGCCCTTTGGAGCATAATGACCTTTCTTCTCCACATTACTGTAAGGATGTTTACTCCTTAGTCCCGCTAGCTAACGAAAGACCGAAAGGAAGCTCACACAGTGGGAATCCATCTGGCAGTATAAGGACTCATCTGTGAGAAAGCTCATTTGGCTCCCAATCTGATTCATGTTATTATTTTAAGACAGAAGGGAACGCTTTGTTTTAAAGTGAATATACTGCTATTCACCTGAATAGAAGAGTTAAAACAAAGTGGTGAGTAACTGGTGAACTAAAGCTAGAAGTAAGAGACCTGGGTCAGGAAACAGATTCTGCTCACTGTATACTGGTATGATGAAGATACTTCTGCAACTTTCTACAATGCCAGATAACTTCCATAAATGAAGCTGCACATCAATATAGTCACTAAGAATGTTTTAATCTGTATTTGTTCTCTTTTGCAGTGCTTGCCTGTTGGCTTTCATTCTGTGCAGCAGAGTCCCTCATTGGTTGTCCGTCCTCTTGCAAGTGCAACAGTGGTACTCTGGAGGTAGACTGTAGTGGCTTGGGCCTTTCATCCATCCCCTTAGATATTCCTTCAAACACTAGGACCTTTTTTTTCCTCAACAACCAACTAAGCACTTTGTCAGAACAAGATTTTGCCAATCTCACCGCTCTCCAGAGACTGGATCTTTCCAACAACTTTTTGGACCAACTTCCCGAGAATGTGTTCAGAGACTTAGGGAACCTCACTGAACTACAACTGAGGAACAACAGCATCAGGAGTTTGGACAAAGATATTCTGCAGAACACTGTCCTTCTGCGTCAGCTGGATCTCTCCATCAATGGACTTTCTGAAATACCTTCAGGCATTTTTGATGACCTCCCTTCTCTTCGTTGGCTCTCTCTCAGGTCCAATCGCCTGCAGAATTTGGACAGGGTAACCTTTGAGCCATTAGTCAGCTTGCAGCAGTTGCAAATAGGGGACAACCCCTGGGAATGTGATTGTAACCTCAGAGATTTCAAATACTGGATGGAATGGTTCTCTTATCGAGGTAAGTACTATTGGGGGACAGGGTTGGTTATTAATGAAGAAAATTGTTCACAACTATTCTTTTGTGGCAATAGGGAGCTTGAAATAAACACACACAGAGAAAAGAGAAACAATTTAGGCATGTCAGGCTGACCTAAATTCTACTTGTTGGACCAGGAAAATAGCCACAATGTATTGTAATCCACCTATAAGACATAGTATGTCATACTAAGAAGGCTCTTGCTACCTAAACAATACCTGATGTACTCTGCATGGTATTATTTAGGTAGCAAGTGCCTTCTTAAGCCATTGTTCTCTTGGCAGAGCTTGACAGTCACTCGGCCTCCCAGAGGTGAATTTATTTTGAGGGACTCAAGATAGGGAGAACATTAAATCTGATCATTTAGAAATTTCCGAACTTACTGATGGTAGATCATCATGTTGGAAAAAGACTACCAGAGTGCATAGAGAACGGAACCAAGTGTGTTTAGATAGTTTTCATAAAGAGGAAGGTTTAAGTTGATACCAAATGTCAAACAAAACAGGGTTAAACTGGAAGTTGTTTTCTGTGGATAGGCTTTTGACCTCATACAACGTGAGCATAGCTGTACCGTTCACATGCAAGATGCTCACAGCAGAACTGTGGCTTCTGATCTTTTAACAGGGATCCCCCATTTAGTTCTGTAAATACAGGATACCAATGTCTCAAATGTCACTGATAATGTGTTAATTGGAAGTAACCTCTCAGTCAATTAATTGGCAATGTGTTTGTTATCACCAGATGACTAAGGTTAAGTGTTTCTAACTGCTAGCTCACCATCTTCTGTGATTACAGTTGTTGCTACTTTTTTTGCTACTGGCTAGTTATCTTTTCTTAAAATGGTTTTAATGATTTGTATTTAAACTCTTCATCTATGAAAGCTCATTTTTAGGGCCAGTGGCAGTTTTTGGGGCTTCCTGCTAGTATTGTACTGAACACAAAGTGAATGGCCAACGGTGGAGGCTTTAACTACTTTATGTTTTTTTCAATAATGGATAAAGAGGATTTCTACTCTAGCTAGAGATTGTTCAAAAGACTGATCTGTTGGGATCTAAAGCTTCCTACTTCCATGGAGGAGAATCTCATTTCCATAAGACCTGCACTTCCAGTTTGGTGATTCAAAGGACATGCGGTGGAAAGAAAAAAGCATTCTAAGCTCCCGTTTTCAATGTCTAATTGGATATTCCACAAATAACTTGAGATTGTAACGTGACTTGTACTTAGACAGCTAAACAAATGCCCCTTGGTTATCCTTTGCATTACCAAGTCTCTCTGTAATATTATGAGTAGGGGTCTACATTCCCTTCAAGATTCAGCAGGGACTATGATCCGGCGACTAGAAAAATACAGATATACCTCAGTTAACAAAGGAGATGTTTTCTGGAATAACATATTGAACAAAATAATTGTATCTGAAGTTCAAATAACATAGAAAGACTAGGGTTAGGTTCCTATTCCACAAAAATGAAGACCAGTTCAGTATATTTCACCAAGATCTTTATTCAAAGCTATGAGTATACACAAGAGAAATGAAACCACCGGTTCAGGTCAGCCTTGCATAAGTAAACAAACAAAAAAGATTTTAATCTTCTACAGATCTTTTAATGTAGGGAACTATTTTAATTACCAATGGTTGGTGACAAAGAATGGCAAACAGTCTCCGTGAATGAAGCAAAATCCTTTTATTTTCAAGTGTGGCCACACTAGCACAGACAGCCAGACAAGTCATATGTCTATCAAAAAGGCTGTGTGTGCCATTTGATTTTTCAGTTCATTCTTTATACACTTTTCTTGCTGTGTCATGAAACAGATCCACCTCCGGATCCACCTCCGGATCCATGTTTCAAAAACATGTTCTTTCACCTTCTTGCCACTTCGGCGCCTCTAAAACTGATAACCTTCTACACACTTAGAGCAAACATACACATTATGACTTCAGACTCTTTCTTGGATGTCATCCTTCCCTGTATCCTTGAACTACACAACATCATCCTGTGTTTTCCAAATACTTTTATCTCTCTTTCCCTTTTGCTCTTCTGTAGGCCAAAGGACAAACCTCTCTCTTAGGCTTGTATTCCAGCATTTTTAACATCTCTTCACCTAATAAGCTTCACTCACCCCTTCATTAAAAGCCACAGAGCGATGTGTTTTTAACATACCAGTGAGGGCTTTTGAGAGCTAATTCACTCTTCCTTTCTGTTTTGCTGTTCACTCATGCTCTACAACAGTGGTTCTCAACCTGTGGGTCCCCAGATGTTTTGGCCTTCAACTCCCAGAAATCCTAACAGCTGGTAAACTGGCTGGGATTTCTGGGACCGTTATAGGCCAAAACAGCTAGGGACCCACAGGTTGAAAACCAGTGCTCTAGAAGCAGCTGCGGTTACTTTGCCTGTAGTAGGCAGGCACAGACAACTAGAGGAGTATTAGCTGAGAAATATATCATTTTTCCAAGCTCAAGCTTTATTGCACAGTTTATTACAGACATTCTGCTGCAATTTGGCAATTGAGTATCTATGTTTCTCTATTCCATCACCACACACCCAACAGTAATACAGTTTAAACATTCCAGCTATATAGAGGACTAAAGGGAAAAGGTGGAGGGATAGATCAGCAGAAAAGGACTTTGTAAAAAGGGTCTTCTTTAGCAGAGGCTTTGTTAACAGAAGCATGCCTGTAACCCACTTCACCTCAGCTGATCAATTAAAGGACAATCTAATTTTGATTCCTGTTTGAATATTAATCTTGATCTCAAAATTCAAGCCTTCATATCTCCAAGACAGTAACTTTTCTGTTTGTCAGGATTCCATAAAATATGTAAACATAACAGCCACTTAGTAGAATATGATATATGCCAAAAATGGAAACCAATAGGCACATGAATGATTGCACTACATAAAATCATAGAATCACATAGTTGGTAGAGATCTCATTGGCCATCCAGTCCAACCCCTTTCTGCCAAGAAGCAGGAAAATCGCATTCAAAGCACCCCTGACAGATGGCCATCCAGCCTCTGCTTAAAATCCTCCAAAGGAAGAACCCTCAACCCCATGACTTTATATATTTTCTAAAGGTGTTAGCAGCAGCATTTGTTTCCTGGCAGAACTGGATAGAATCTGCATGGCTAGTTGTCCTTTCTCAGGTGATCAAGCCATGGCTGGGGGCGTTATATCAAAGCAACCTGTTATAGTTCAGAGATTTGTCAAACAGGATAAATTTATTCTGACTAGGTTTTCTGTATGAAAATGTTCTGAAAATTAAATATGGTTAGAAGTGGCCCCAGTTAATATATAGCTAAAATTGTAGCCAAACAAGCATGGTTGCTGCTGCTGTTATTATTTGAAAGAGGAATTTTCACTTCTTGATACCTTTTCCATTTTTGGTCATGTTCTGACAATTTTTTATGAAAATTGTATATATGTTGTCTCTAGGCAGAATTTTAGAAGGACAGGTGGCGGGCTAGGGAGTTATGATGACTTTAAAAACTGCTCAGGACTTTGTGTTCTGTTCAGTTGGCATCATCCTCACCAAAAGTGCAATAGGATGGAGGGGATAATAGGTATGGCACAGTGACAAATGCAGAAAGATTGCATTTTTGTAAAGAAGAACTCATTGCTACTTTCTCTCAAGTACCACAGACTGTACAAACAACACAGTAAACATTCCTATTCTGTTGCTCTTACTCCCAGGAGTAAGTACTGAGTACTCGAATAGTCCTTGCTATAGTACGTCAGCATCCTTTCTTCAAAGCATGAAGATTGGAAAGCCACATCAACACAATTTGCTAACAACAGAAGATGGATCTGTCACTCACAAAAACACCTGCATCCTCTCCCTTTCTTCTCTTGTATGGAAAACTTAAGAGAAAATTTATTAGTTTTGGGGAACGCTCTCTGTCTTTGTGTCTCCATTAAAGCAGAAGGGTTCATATTTGGTTCATGTTCAAGCAACTTTGCTTTGCTTCAGACATGTCCTGAATCTCTCCAGATCTACCCATTTCTTTGTAATTTTTGCATATCTACAATGTATATGTAATTGTGACCTGAGCAAACTGTCATTCTTGGTATGAGCCATAGACAAGTGAGTATTCTTTGGGCTGAAGCGTTTCCAGAACTAATGAGAAAGTGGAAACATTTAATAACTATGAGGTGGATTGAGGAACTAAATTTTGGTCAACATATTGAAAGTTAATAGGTGAGATAGAACCATTACCGGTTCCAATCAAATAAACTAAGAACAGGAATATAGGTACTCCCTAGTTTTGATGGGCAACTTCTCATAAAAATACAGGAGTGCAATGAGGGAATAAAGTGCTTCTTTTGGAGATTCATACAGCAGAGACTACTTTTTACATTCTTAAGACAGACTATTTAAATTGCAGCCAGATCTGAAGAAAACAGACCTGTGCATTCTTGTATTATTAGATTCTACAACAGGCTGCTATTGAAAAGCTGGTCCAAAATGATGCTTTGAATATTTGTTGGGTCTGGATAGGCAGAGCAAATAGTATTCAACCTCTATTCAAATAGTCATTTTTTTCTTAGCTAGTCTTAAACCTTAGCCCTGAAAAACCTCATACCAGTTCACCTTATATACTTCCTCCTGTACTATATGCATCTTTGTGTATATCCTGTTCTGTGTCACTGCCATCTGAGATCCAGAGATGGGGTTTTTGAGGCGTGTCACTTATGCTATGAAATCCCTGTACAATAGTGGTTTCCAACCTGTGGGCTCTAGATTATTAAATATGGTTTTCTGTGGGTGCGCAGATGGCGACTACTGAATGGAATATGTTCTGTATCAGAAACTAGAGCTGATGTGGTCTATCCAATGCAATTTTCTGAATCAGCATCCCAAATAACCAAACCGAATCTAAAGTTGACCAAAAACTGATTCATAACCCTTTTGGTATTAACGTTGGAGAGTGGTCCCTGGTCAAAGTGGTCTCTGGTCAAAAAAAGGTTGGGAACCACTGCTGTACAATGAGGTCTTGTGGTTGACATGTTCCTTCCAGTCATTTCTGAATTATGGAGATGCTAAGGCAAACTTGTCATAGACTTTCTTGGGGAGATTTATTCAAAGGAGGTGTGCCTTTGTTTCCCCTATGGCACTGAGAATGTGACCTGCCCAAGTCTGTGGACGCAAAACATTGTTTCCCATAGTCGTAATCCAGCATTCATTCCATTACATAGAATCATAGAATCAAAGAGTTGGAAGAGACCTCATGGGCCATCCAGTCCAACCCCCTGCCAAGAAGCAGGAATATTGCATTCAAATCACCCCTGACAGATGGTCATCCAGCCTCTGTTTAAAAGCTTCCAAAGAAGGAGCCTCCACCACACTCCGGGGCAGAGAGTTCCACTGCTGAACGCTCTCACATCACATTGACTCTCCTAATGATGTCTACCTGGCAGCATTATCACTTACTTTTCACCGCTTGCTGAATACATTGCTTTATTTGGAAGGCTATCAGTGATGGTGTAAACTGAGTATTGCTCTGGAATGTTTGTTCCTACTTATCTGGTTGCTATTTTGTTTTAATTATTTCTGTTGTTTCAATTATTTATTGCTTTGCCACTATAAAAAAGCAGGGAACACCTGTTTGACTCTAATGAATTAAACAGCAAAATATTTTTTTAATAATTCATTCTGTAATTCTACAATATTAAATACTATAATAGTGTAGAGAAGTTAAAACCATCACATATTTAAGTCTTTAGCCATGATACTTTTATTGAAGTCAGTTGCTACATTGAATATAGTATGGTATGACATTAAAATAAGGTACTAAGTGAACTTTTTTTTTTTGTGGGATAGGAGGCAAGATAGACCAGCTGGCATGTACTCTTCCTAAGGAGCTGCGGGGGAAGGACATGCGCATGGTGCCCATGGAGATGTTTAACTACTGCTCCCAGCTGGAGGATGAGAACAGTTCTACTGTACTGGACAATATTGGTCCTCCTTGCAGTAAAGGAACAACTGCTCCCAAACCTAAAGCCAGTTCTGAAACAGAAGAGGAGCCCAGTGTGGGCTGCCCCCAGAAGCAAAGGTACCGACCTGTCAGTGTGCGCCGAGCCATTGGCACAGTCATCATAGCAGGAGTGGTTTGTGGCATTGTGTGTATCATGATGGTAGTGGCAGCAGCCTATGGTTGTATCTATGCATCCCTCATGGCTAAGTACCATCGGGAGCTGAAGAAGAGGCAGCCGTTAATGGGTGATACTGAGGGTGAACATGAGGAACAAAAACAGATCTCCTCTGTGGCATGAATCTAGAAATCAGTGACAGAAAAGAGCAGGATAAAACAGAGGCCTATAGCCTGGGCAGTTTTGCTTTTCCCCAGACATGGAGATGGATTGTGCTGCTTTCTCTTTATTCAATTAGTCAAATATGCTTTATGAGGATACTGGCTCGGGATTCAGTCCATCTCACTTTTCTCTATTCTCATGTAATTCCAAGAGACTAAATTGTAGTCAGACCTCAAAAGCTCATCATCACTTCTCTTCTTTGCAGAAGGCTCCCCATTAAGAATTTCACCTGGGGAGCTCAGGCAACCCAGACTACTTTTCATCCCTGCTTCACTTTCCCATAGCATCACAGAGCCTTGTGCAAACAAAATGAGCAACTCAAGGCACCGAGACATTTCCTGTTAAAACTGACTAAAAACTTCACAAGTCACTATGAGTTGGGTCACTGACATTGCCAGATGGCAATCCACTACACCCACCAGCTATATGGGTGGGAGCAACTCATTTCACAACAACTCCAGGACCAATGTACGTGAGTGCATTATAGCAACAGAGAGCCTGACCTCTCTACTTTTGACATAAGACAGGAATTAACATTCTTTAGAATCAAAAGCAGCACTTTGCACATTCATTCTGGCATGCGCCCTCGTCAACATACTAAAGGACTGGGACAAATACATTAACACAGGCTGATTAACACTTATGTATACAAACATGCCTATACATACCTATGTTGCATTGCATACCACCTGTACATGCCTATTTGTTAAACACAAAAGATGTACCAGCTCATCCTCGTCGTATGGATAATTTATGAACCCAGCAATTATCATTTAACAGTGCTGGAAAAGGAAAGGCGGTACATGAGAGGAAACACGATGAATGCTATTTAACAAGCAGTTACTTTGGGAAGGCTAGTATGATTGGTGCACAAGGGAAAATGTTTTTCCCCAAGACATTGGAGAATTAATCTGAAAGGCTCTTACCAGTCATTGTGGCAGAAATGGTCTCTCTAAGGATTAAGAGGCTGCTCTTGCCTTTCTGATCTCCTTAGTGAGTATATTGGGGAGAAATACTGAAGTGGTTGTGAGTATATCAAACACCCTGGAGGTCATAGCAAGAATCATTAGTGTAGCCATGCGGCTGCTTCCACATATGCAGTGCAACATAGGGTGGGTCTGATGGGGAGGACTGGGGGCATGATTTAGAGCTAAAAATGGAAAAACAAGGAGACTCTGTGTAAAATGAAAAAAGGAGAAGCTGTTCATGGACCTGAAGATGTTAGTCAGCTTTTCATGTAAACAGCTGATACAGGCATACATATATAATATATTCACTTGTGGGTTAATATACCAAGAACCCATGTAAGAGTCCACCTAAAAACATGGATGAAATTAATGTTCTGAGCAACATCTATGGACATTATACATGAATGCATTCAAACACACAGAGGCACATACGAGCACAGGCATTTGCACATCCCTCCGTGACCATATGAATTCCTGCCCTGAATACCTTTTACAGGTCTGTAGCACATCACATAAGCCTCATCTCTTTTCCAACTGATGGCAGAGGTGCGGAAGGGGAGGGGCGGAGAATCAGCATAAGGACGCATTTGATATCAGTGGAAGTGGGATAAAATGCTGTCTCCAGGGGAGAGCACATATTACCATGGTAACCTGCTCTAGCCCGTCACAGCGGGTATTCCTGGGATAGGAGGCTGACACAAGAGGTCGTGCAGCCGCAGTTTTTCTGGATACTGTGATCCTTGCAGTCATGAAACAACCTGGCAGCTGGCCCAGATTCTGAAATATCTCTCCAGCAACTCAGGAGCAGAGCCCAGCAATCACCTGAGCTGGGCAGGGACCCGGTTACCAGAGTTCTTCCTTCTTTTCTTGTATTTCTGTTGCCTTTAGATGATCTGTAGTTCTTACTTTGGCTGTTCCTGATGGTTTTGAATAGAAGTAGTGCTCGCTGCCTTTTAATGCATCCCCAAATGCTCTATCAGCAAACAGGAACACTGTGAAAGACTTGAGATTCCATTCACGGAGCAACAATTCAACCCTTTCTCATCCTATTTGCCAAGGACTACCAGATCCAAAAAGATGGAATATACTTCTAGTACAGAGAGAACATCCCATGGAACTTCAGGGAGGCCACCATGGGAAGCTAATTGTGGCATTTCAGTTTATGGAGCATGTGAAGAAAGTCAACATTAGGGCAAGGGACAAACTCCAAGGAAGGAGCATAAGGACTGTCTTACTATTATGTACCATCTATATATTGCAGTTCCTCCAAACACCCAACTCCGCTCCTGCTTCATCCCTATCTGATGGGTAATCTAGACAGTGTGTGTTGTCTATACTGCTTCTACTATTTATATACCCAGCAAAACAGGACTAGCACTCTGCTTGCTGGATATACAATTCCAACATTACTGTCTTTATCATTTTCCCAAAGGAACTTACCTCTGTAACATATTGGACAGCACAATCATACTTGAAATGGGATTTATGTCAGAGCTGTATATTTATAGATCTCTATTTTACTTGTAAGGAATAATGATGACATGTTTGCACAAAAAGAAATGATGTGTGCATTTGTGTTTAGGGGATGAGAAGAACTGGGAAAATGAAATGACAAGAGGAAGTGAGAGGCGAGAAAAACCCTTTCCTCTTCCCATCCCCTATTTTCACCTATGACACATTCCCCTTTGCTGCCAATAATCTCTTGTTTTCCATGTTTTGTGTTTAATTACAACCTTAAATTTTGTTCTAATTTCTCATTGATATGGCGTAGAGCTGACCCTGATACTTCCGCATTTAGAAATTCATAAAAGGGAAGTAAGTGAAGGGATAAAGTAATAGCTTGTAGACCAAAGTAGAGGATGACGAATGGACATTGGTTGGTCCCAAATATGCTAGAGAATTTTTGGGAGTACAACTGCTTGTGGAGAAACTTTTAAGTGACTGCAGAATGCAATAAACTGATCTGGGAAATGTTCTTTTGAATTTACTGGGAAACTGTGCCTTCAGTTGTAATTTGAAGTTCTAGAGCACAGGTGTCAAACACAAAGCCCATCGGCTGAATCTGGCCCTCGATGTCATTTTATGCAGCCCTCGAGATGTTGGACTCTTGTATTTCTCATCATCAGACATCATGACAAGCTTATGGGAGTTGTGATACAGTAACATCTGGAAGGCTCCAGTTGTTCTGTTCAATCAGGATAGTTGAGTCTGAATTTAAATACAAGGCTTGTGGATATGTCTGACTTTAAAATGCCCTTTAACTTTTCCCCAACTTCAGAGCCACAAGTGCTGCTGGGATACAATCCCCATTATCCTTAATCTGCATGGTGGATAATCAAAAGTGATGGGAGTTGTCATTCAATAACATCTGAGTAAAAATTAAATAGTACTGACCACTATGTGAAAAAATTATAGTTGTCTCTCTATCTACGGCATCTCTGTCCATTGATTCAATGGCCCTTTGAAGGCCACCACAAGGCTGATGTTCCCCTTGATGAAAATGAGTTTGACACCTCTGTTCTAGAACATACATAATTTACTACTCTTGAACTAGATCTAAAACCACAGAAATTATTTAAACGTTCTTGCATCTCATCATCTTCCCAGCCCATCGGCCAAGATCCACCTGCTGAGAACGCAAGAATTTAGAATATCATCTTTTTTGTATTGATGCAACTAGAATTGATCATAGGTGTCGACAGTGTAAAGAATTAAGATAAAAGTATGGATTTTCCAAATCCACATGATGTATTCCATATGAATAGAAGCTCACATGTAGAATAATTCAGAACTGACAGTCAGGTGGAACGGAGAAGGTAAATACCTCAGCAATGGGGCCCTTCAGCAGAGTCAGTATAATCCTTCTAGTATGCATGGCTGTATCAAAGTACCTATACTAAGTCCAAAATACTACCAGCAGTGCATGGTTGTGTAGCATATGTGAAGGAGGTTTTTTTCAGGAGTTTGGTGATAAGATGACACCACTGTTAGAATTTGTATATACAAGTCCAAAGGACATTTTCACAAATGATGAAAACAATGCACGCTGATTATTAATGTGGCACTTTGGAACGTTATTGTTGCATGGTCTAACATGGGAAACAGCTTTGATAACTGCATACAGAAGCCTGTAACTATCCAGCTATCAATTGTAATAATTGTAACAATCTAACAAAAGCTTTCCTCCCACTCTATGTATGAACTAGACCAGGTTTCAAAAACAAATGGCCATGACATCACTGAAGATGAAACAGCCTGCTTTAATACCTTGACCTGTCCCAATAAGAACTAATTGGAAGATTATTATAAATGTGAAAATGCTGCAATATTAACATCTATAATGCATGCGGCATGTGATATCACTGCGGAAATATGCATGCATAGAATATCAATACAGATTTCAAACATCATTTGTGAAAATGTTCTTTGTGCGCTCCAGACTATCAGGTACAGATAACAAATAGCTGAGAGGATACAACAACAACAAAAAAAATGGCTCTTGGTAGCTGGCCAGAAGCCCCAATGAAGGACAATTTAATTCCACCAAGAAAGGTGTCATAAGCAAGAAATATGCTCTCCTGTGCTGGTAGGTCAATACAGCAACGAGAGAAAATGTATCTCTCTCTAATACGGTTAGAAAGACCCAGGAAACAGGGATAGGCACAACTCCTGGGGAAAGGGGCAAGAGGGATGGACAGGTGGTGCATACAATCCTTTTTCTTTCTGTTAGAATTTAAGAAAGAACAATATGTTGTTGTTTTTTAAAAAAGCAGCTGAAGGTATATTATATTTCTGGCTTGTGTTTTAGAAGAATAATAAAGAATGTATTTTCCTAAGCATCTCATGTTTTACATTTATTTTGTGGAAGTAACACACTCCTACTTCTTTCTGACCAAAATGTTGGCAGTTTGAATCTGGGGAGTGGGGTGAGCTCCTGCTGTTAGCCCCAGCTTCTGCCAACCTAGTTGTTTGCAAACATGCAAATGTGAGTCCATCAATAGGCACCGCTTCAGCGGGAAGGTAACAGCGCTCCATGCTGTCATGCGGCCACATGAACTTGGAAGTGTCTATGGACAACGCCAGCTCTTTGGTTTAGAAATGGAGATAAGCACGACCACCCCCTCCAGGGTCAGACACAACTCGACTTAATGTCAAGGGGAAACCTTTACCTTTACTTTTACTTATTTGGAGGTTTGCTGTAGGAATTCCATAAAAACAACAGGCTCTTTGACATAAAAGTGATGTCCACAAATACACAAGGATTCAGAAGTGAAGCTAAGTGAATTGCTTAATTTTGATTAAATCATGTGCCTGTGAATAAAAGGCAGGCAGGCATGTTACAACCAAAAAATAAAGTCTTGCTGCTATACTTTAAAGCAGCAGTTCTCAACCTGGGGGTTGCGACCCCCAGGGGGAGTCGCCTGGCCATTTCGGATGGGTCACGAGGCAGGCGAGGGGTTCTCCGCAAAGCCTCACACAAAGCCTGCCTCGCCTGTCTCACGTTCTCACCATCGGCGAGGGCGTGGGGCAGGCGAGGGGTCCTCCACGCAAGGCCTGGCCTCGCGCAAAGCCTGCCTCACCTGCCTCGCATTCTCGCCATCCGGGAGTTCTTTGTGGAGGTTTCAGTGGTCTGTGGAAGTCAGCGCTGAATTGGTTGAAGGTACTGCAAATCCATTTTTCTCTCTGATTAATCGTGATGCTTTAATTATGTTGAATTTGTAACAATTAAAACACATCCTTCATATCAGATATTTACATTACTATTTGTAACAGTAGCAAAATTACAGTTATAAAGGAGCAACAAAATTTTATGGTTGGGGGTCACCACAACATGAGGAACCATATTTAGGGGTCCCGGTGTTAGAAAGGTTGAGAACCACTGCTTTAAAGGCTGGCATAAGCTTTCATGGATTCATTAGACTGTTTGTTTACCCTCATTTGATATACACAAGCATGCATACAGAGACACCACTCCAATCTTTGCACAATGTGCTTTTTATGTACAATGTGTTTTACCATGTGTAATAACATCTCATGGATTCTAGCTCACGAAAGCCATGTCCTAGAATAAAATCCTTTAGGGTGACACAAGACTCTACGTTATTTTTAACACACTGCAAGACTTTCTGGCAATCTGAGAATCATCAGCTTAATTTAGATAGGAGACCATTCATACAAGCCATGCTTCATTTAAACATTTATCCAGACACATCGAAGTAGTGTGACTGTCACGTTATAGATGAGCTACATTTCATTGGTCATCCCAATCCGAAAGAGCTTTTTAAAAAGGATTTGTTCATATTAGGAACAATGGAAATATAAAGCTACAGCATTCTCTAAGGTTGAATACCAGCCTCTCAATGAAGATTTGCAGCAAGAGTGTGAAACTTTGTGAAAGAGACCCTAGGATTATAGTCTACATCACAAATAAAACATGAGTCAGCAGTGTGATAGAGCAAAAAAGGTTAATGTGGTATATTAAGCATCATTAATAGAACAATAATTTACAATTCATGAGAAGTGAAGGATCTAATTTATTTTGCACTAGTCAGGCTGTATCTGGAATCCAGTAAGATCCCATATCCATGGGAAAATACATTCTTGGACTTATCATGGAAATGTGAAAATGAAGATAATAGCAAACACTGTTGAAATTAATTACTTCTATCCAAAGCATACCATAGAATCATGCTGGAGGCCTTAGAAAATGCTAAAGAGAAGACATTTCTAGCTTTTCTAGGTCTTTTGGTTGACTTTATGGTCAACTTCTGGTAGAAGTACATCGTATAATTGGCCTGGAGGATCTAGAAAATGCCTAGAGCAGAGTTTCTCAAGCTGTGCTCTTCCAGATGTTTTGGACTTCAGCTCCCACAATTCCAAACAGCTGGTAAGATGACTGGGATTTCTGGGAGCTCAAGTCTAAAAGATCCTCATAGTTAAAGCAATGGTATTCCCCATAGTCCCCATAGTCACTTATGAATATGAGAGCTGGACCATAAGGAAGGCTGAGCGAAGGAAGATAGATGTTTTTGAACTGTGGGAGGAAAGTTCTGAGAGTGCCTTGGACCACCAGAAGACCCAACCAGTCCATACTTCAGGAAATAAAGCCCGACTGCTCATTGGAGGGAAGGATAGTAGAGGCCAAGATGAAGTACTTTGGCCACATCATGAGAAGAAAGGAAAGCTTAGAGAAGACAATTATGCTGGGGAAGGTAAAAGGAAGAGGGGCCTACCAAGGGTAAGATGGATGAATGGCATCTTTGAAGTGACTGAATTGACCTTGAAGGAGCTGAGGGTGGTGATGGTTGACAGGGAGCTCTGGCATGGGCTGGTCCATAAGGTCACGAAGAGTTGGAAATGACTGAACAAATGAGCAACAACAACAAAACAAGTTAAGAGGAGGACAATGAAGACGGTCAGTGGTCTCATATTCACATTCCCACCTATTCCTCAATAAATTAGAAGTACACTGACAAAAATGCATGTAGAGTTCTATCCATTTGTACCTTCAAATCTCTCGCTTCCAGCATATGGGATTGTTCTTTTCTCACTCTCCTTTTTTTAGCTCTTTCTTTCATCATCATGTTCTCTCTCTTATCCCTCTTCATGAGCAGCTGCTCTTCAGATATTCCTTTCTCTCATCTTCTCAACTGTCATTTATCAATTGTAACAGACCATTTCAACCCCCACAGACCATCTGCTTTACAAAAGGGTTGCTCTCCTCCACAGGCAGGGCTATTCTTTTGACATTCTGTGCTTGACATAAATCTGGGCTATTGGAGACAGAGGCGCACAAAGGTGCTTTTGGGTTGGATCCAAATTCAGATACAAGGTTCAATCTAAAATTATCTAGCCTTTAGGCTAGCCAAGGGTAATCTTTGGTTAAGCAAAGATATGAAGGATGCAAAGAAATTGAAAATATGTTCCCTGAAGCCACATGGCCTTTTGAGTAGAAAATGGTAATAGGTCCCAGCACTACAAGGAAGT